GATAATTCAAACATATAAATGAAAAGCATGGCCTAAATACTCATTTGCTGTACCTCCTCTGATTGTTATAGCTTAAACTAATTATTTTATTAACTCACTGGTCATTATTCATTTAAGAAACACTGAGGGTACAATTCCTATGCATGGAGTACTGGGCTATGCACTTGGAAAAGAAAGATATGCCCTGACACCAGATACTCAGAGTTTATTTTTCAGGCCCCAGATCAAACAAGTTACTTCCTTCTGTAATTCTCAAACCAAAGATACAGTATTGAGTTTTAAGTCAAACTTTAATTTTCATCATTTATTATTTTTAGACATATGCCAGAAAAAAAAAAAAAATTTCCTCTTGTACCATCTTTATTCTTAAACAAAAAAAAGTAACAAATAATTTTTATTCCATTTTCTTTTAATTAAAAAGTACATTTGTTTTCACTCATTCAACAAAGGCTAAAGTCCCTGCAATGTATCAGGTTCTATGCTGAACAATGGACACTGTTGTTGTTATGTGGCTTCTAGTCGGCCCCAAGTCATAGCAACCCCTCCTTGGGTTTCTGATGTGGTATCACTATGGAAGTAGATTGCCCAACCTTCCTTCTGAGGAGTAGCTGGTGGGTTTGAACCGCCAGCCTTCTGGTTAGCAGTCAAGTGTCTTAGGCACTGTGGTAGTTATGCTTGTGTGTCAACTTGGCTGGGCCTGGTTGAGTGGCTGGGCAGCTGGATGTAGTATTCCCCATGATGAGACTGGCAATCAACTCCATGTTGGGATTTACCACAAGTGGCTGAGTAGCTTCCTTTGGGATGCGGTCTGCTTCCTGTATATAAGGAGAAGCCTTGGGAATGGTCTCTAGCCTTTGGCATGCTTGGACCCTGCATGTAGCCGTGTTGTTGCTCAGCAGCCTGCTATGCTCTGCCGACCTTGGGACTTACAATGGACTTAAGTTAATGGCCTGCCTTGTAGTTTGGTAACATCGGAACTGTGCCTTTTTACTTGTCAACCTTGGGCTTCTCAGCCTCAGCAGCCAGCAGCTGTCTGAGTGAAGAAAAGCCTCTAGCTCCAGTGGACTGGGAGCAGGAGGCAGAGCTGGACCCCAAGGTTGAGGAGCTTTCACCCAGCCCCTAGAGCCTGGCACTTTGAACTTGGACTTAAAGCCTCCAAATTTTAAGAATAAACTCCTGTTTGTTAAGGCCATCCCATTTGTGGTATATTCTTGTTAGAGTGGCACTGGGTAACCAGAACAGGCACAATGCTACAATGATCAATAAATAACAAGTGGTCTCTACTTATCCTCTAAGTAACTGACAATTTTGCATACAAGCTATGTACAAAGCAATACAGAAAAACTGAAATATGTACTGCAGTAATCCTGCACTTCAAAATGGATCTGGCAAACTAATTCCTTCAAAATAAGTTATTTTCAGCTCAACCCAAAAACATGATTTTTCTCGAAAATGTCAAATTGTTCATATATATAACGAAGGAATAAATTAGTAGGAGAGAAAAGAACATGTTGGAATAAACCTCTGAGTGAACAATGGCTCAGAGTGAACAATGCATTTGTTTTAGGATCAGCTATGCCACTAAGAAGCGGTTAGTAGGTTTACTCATAGGGTCTACGAAAACCAAGAATTATTTGAAAAAGTATAACAAAATCTGGTGAATACGATGCAGTGTAGCCTGGAGTCCCCAACACCTGTTTTTTTTTTTGGTTTTTTTGGTGTTTCTGCTTGCTTTGGTTGTTTATATTTTTACTTCCCACTTGTTCACTAATTAGCCAAGCAAATTCACTAACAGGATTTAACTTCTGTATGCTTCATGAAGTAGAAAGAATACAGAGCAGGGTCAGACCACCTGAGTTTACTATATTCAAGACGATGACTCTGGCTAACTCTGTAAGGTTAACAAAAATGAGCAAGTTTTTTAACTTCTTTACAATCAGTTTCCTCATAATAAAATTGGAATAAACCTACCTTACAGAATTACGTTAAAGATTAAATGAGAAAATACATGTGAAAAACATAATCATTCTTATAGACTGAACAAACATCTGTCCAAAGAACATACACAAGTGGTCAACAAGAAAATGGAAAGATGCTCAATCTCATTAGCCACTAGGGAAATGCAACTCAAAACCACAATGAGATAAAACTTCACACCCACTAGGATGACTATTATCAAAATGAACAAAAAATACAATGTTGGTAAGGACATAGAGAAATTAGAACCCTAGTGTGTCGCTGACAGGAATTTTAAATGGTGCAACTTCTGTGGAAAACTGTTTGGCAGTTCCTCAAAAATTTATACATAGATTTACCACATGACGCAGCAATTCTACTTCCAGGCATATACTAAAGAGAATTGAAAACATATGTTTACCCAAAAACTTGTACACAGGTGTTCATAGAAGCATTATTCTTAACAGACAAAAACTGGAAATAACCCAATGTCCAACAACAAAATGTGGTATATCCCTAAAATGGAGCATTATTTGGCCATAAAAAGGAATAAAGCACTAATAGATGTTACAATATGAATGAATCTTAAAAAACTTATACTAAGTGAAAGAAGCAAGACATATTTATATGAAATGTTCAGAGAAATCCAGAGACAGAAAGTAGGTTAGTGGTTGCCCAGTAGTGGGGGGAGGTGTTATTGAGGAGTGATTGCTACCGGTACAGGGTTTCTTTTTGAGATGATGAAAATATTTTGGAAGTAGTGCACAACCTTGTGACTATACTAAAACCACTGAATTGTATACTTTAAATTGCATGGCTTATGAATTATATATCTCATCGAAAGAAAACTATTATGCTGCTTTTCACTGGAAAATACTTTTCTCAAAGACTGCTCTATGGATCTATATTTGTAGAAGACAATGTCTCCTTTGCTTGTCTCTTTGAAAGTTATTATGTGACACAGACAAATCATATTTCCCATAAAGTAAAACTACTAATTATGCTAGAGAAAAGCTCTATAAATCAAATAAATGTGGTATAATTTTATTCCTTCAAAAGAAATGTTCTTATTAATTCTAAGTTTGTTTTAAAGGAGAGGGAAAAGCTTCAAGGAGCCCATCTGGCCCCCATTTACCTATTGGGCAGCTCTACTCTGTTGCACACAGTAACATGGGGTCACTATGCATCCACTCGACAGCACCTACCACCAACAACAACCCCTAAACTCTCCCATCAATTGTTGTTGCTGTTGTTATGTGCCGTCGAGTTGGCCTCAACGCATAGTGACCCCTCCTTGGGTTTCCAAGGCAGTATCACTACAGAAGTAGATTGCCCCATCTTCCTTCCAAGGAGTGGCTGGTGGGTTTGAACTGCCAGCCTTCCGGTTAGCAGTCAAGTGCCTTAGGAACTACGCTACCAGAGCTTCCATCGATTAAGTCATCCAATACTCATCATGGTTAAAATGCCTGGCAGACTCTTTAAATGCAATCAATTCATTTTTCAAATGTTGAGGAACTTAAAAGAATAGGCCCAATTTTATGATTAAATTAAGTCTAGAATGTATTACTATTCAGTAAAATTATTTCCTTGTATTTGGGATACAAAAACAATCCTATAAAGTTGTGTAATGCTTTCTAGGTCCTTTGGGATTTTTTTTTCTCATGTGTTTGGCCATGGGGTAAAGACACCAACTTTTATCCACACAAAGTTATTTTGTTTAAAGGCTTCCTGGTTCAAGAACAAAGAAGTATTTTACTGCTCAAAGCAAAAAGAGTATATCTTCCTTCCATTTAGTATTGTTGTACTAAAATAGCATACCAATAAAGCCAGCTAGGTATTAGCAAGACCCACGGTATGTAAACAAAGATAAATTGTTCTATATCACATATTCTTCCTTGGGGTGGGAAGAGAGTTTCTCACAACTAAGAAAATAAGCTTTACCAAGCCAAAGAAAACCGTTTGGATTAAGATTTTCCAACCTGGAGATATTTGAGTGGCACTTTTAACTTGAGGAGTTGCCAATCTATTAATGCTGGGATGTATGGTGGGTAGCGTGGCACAGACCAAATGTGAAGGAAGAGGTGATCTGTCAAACAGCTGCTATAGAGTTACTCTCTCAACAGCACTCCAAGTTCTCGGGTGATGTCTGTGTGTAAGAGAAAAATGTCAAAACAGTAAGAGAACCAAGGGTGCTGTGACAGCAGCAGCAAGTCCAAACCGTGTACCCCATGGTCAAATCCGACCCATACCCTCCAGAACCAGCCTGACTATGGCTCTTTTCTCATATGAATCGTCCTAAAATATTCAAAAAAAAAAAAAAAGCAAACACAGAACAACGGATCCCTGCCAACCCGCTCTCTCCCTCCCCTTTCGACTCTTCCAATGGCTGGAGGGATTTTACCCTGCTGGCCCAGAAGAAGCCAAGCCCACACGGGACTAGGGAGGTGTCCAGGAGCCTCGGCGCAGCCGGGGGACGTAAACCGGCTTCCCCCACCCACCAAGCAAAGCTGGTCACCGGCCACACAAAGGAAACAGCCGCGGGTGCTGGACGCGGGGATAAGCCCCGGAGCCGGGCGCCACATCTGCTCTCTCCACGCCCGGAGGACAAGACCCGCCGGAAAATAAAGATTAATGTCCAAACCTGTTGCACGTTTCGCGTGCCTTTCACCCAGAAATGAACAAGGGCGCTCCGGAGGGCAGCCGCCAACGGCCTGGGATCTGCGGGCGAGGTCTGGGCCCGGCAGACGGCGTGGAGGCAGGGTCCGCCCGCCGGCCTCTCACCTCCGGCGCTTTGTCTACCACCGCGGTGGCCGCGGGGTTGAGGGCGGCGGGGAGGGGGCGCCCCTCTCTCAACTGCACGACCCCGCCGCCCTGCGGCCCGCGCGGGAGAAGAAAGCCGGGCCC